TGGGACACACATGTTGTTGATGATAAATATAATCCTTTCCACTCCTTCCCGTTCTGAACTGGGCAACAGACCAAGGATAGATCTATTCCTGCCTGAGTCAAATTTTTGTCCTAGTTTGTTGACCGCGTATTGCGGGCCCGAACTTGTGATAACGATGATGAAGATGCCAACTATAATAGCTGATGTTGTTCCTGGGGTTAGGATGAATTTGACCTGTAGCGATAACAAAAAAAAGTATGTTAGTTCCGTGTATACTTAGAAATGGAAACAAAGAAAATACTGAAGTACTGGGGGTAGAGGGAGGGGGGTGGCGCTCCACTTCCTTAGACATTTTATGAGAGGGTGCACTAAAGAAGAGTACGCTAAGTACTTAACGATAAATTAATAATATTGTGCGTAAATAATAATTAAGCATAATATGATGAATAGCCTCGGTTTAATAATAGACAGGTCGGTTTAAGGAAGGGAAAGAGCTGTACAGATGCAATATTCCCTTTAAGGCAGATATGCGACCAGTCTTTTGAATATGATAGAAGTCAACACGCTATATTTATTTTCCAGGATACGGATTTATACCGAGACAACAGATGCAACTATGGAAAATTCTAGAAGATTATGGTATTCAGTATTAACTGTTTGGTAACATCATGGCGCTTTAGCAAGATAGTCAGTGCACAGTACAAGAACAACAGAAGCAATGACAGACTGGTTTTTTATCTCATCAGTTTTCAGACAGGGATGTGTCCTCTCACTACTTGCATTTAATTACTTACATAGATATAAAAACACAGGAGCAAATACAGATACTGAAGAAAACAATGAACTTCTTTTTAGAGACTATCAAGGTCTAATACACTACTAAAAACAGAATATACAACACCAAATTGACTCCATACATGCACAAAGTATGACGTGAGAATAAACACAGCGAAAACTGAGGTAATGAGGATAGGCAGGAAACATAATATCATGAACGTTCGTGTTAACGGTGCTACAGTCAAACAAGTACGGAAATTTAAATATCTAGAAAGCATATTTACGGAGGATGGCAGACTCGATAGAGAGAAAGAAGCCAGAGAACAGAAGGCATATGCTTTCACCAACCAGTCAGCCCCACTGCTTGGACACCTGAATATCTCAATCCCAGCAAAACAGCAAATGATTAATAGCATCTTTTCCCTACTTTATGTCATTAGTGCCAAACATGGACAATGAATTGGGCGCTAGAACAAAAAGTAACTGCAAGTGAAATGTGCTGACTCCTCAAGTTCACTAACAACACTAGACGAGACAGGGTTACGAAAGCATAATTAGAGAGGAATAAGAACATGTCTGGATGATACCGACAAAGAATGAAATGGTTCAGCCATCTAGTGAGAGTGCAGCCAGATCAGACTGCATATAAGACTTTTTTACAGCAGAACATCTGGGAAGAAGGATAAAGGGTGTAGCTGAAACCTGCAGAAAGATAAACAAATATATCACTCAAGCTATCTGTGAAGAGCAAGATAAATACAGAAAACCATGACACTGGGCTACAACCTTGTATTAGTGAGATGAACAAAAAATAAGAAGAAAGAAAGAACTAAGAAGATGAACAGCTTGGCACCTCCTTCCCATACACGTTTTCTCATCGCCTCCGCCCCACCCCTATTTTTCTGATTGACTCACGCTGCTTGGGTCCCTGAACCCTTAGGTTACGGCGCCCCAGCCTGGAAACATAGCAAACTTTCATTTTCTATTACTCGTTTATATCAAGTTTTTTTTGGGGGTAAACATTAAAAAAAGGTCACAGTATTGAAATCCTGTTTTTGCTAGCTCTGCCAAGCCGTTGTCATTATGGAAAATATATGGGCTTCTGAGCTAAAATGCTTTAGAAAATGTCAGATTACTTCTGACCAAGAAGAAAAGAATGATTGACATACTAAAAGATTTGGACATCAAAGGAGACTGGCTAATTAACAGAATTGTGTCTTGTAAACTGAAATACTTGTGCAATATTTAGTGCCAAGGCGGATTGGAAAGAAAAGTGGCAAAAGGCATGGTAGGGAAAAGAGGCGCTGGGGGTGATCAGCATGTAGATGGGCATGTAATATAGGAACATGCAAGACACGGGACGGCTGGAAAGAGACCAAGTTTCTTTCAAGTGGGCAGTGATGAGAGCGACGTTCCGCAGTGACCTGCTACATCATGATGACATTCCAAGCCACATATGTCTACTGATTGTTAATGCCGACTGAAAATCCATGTCAAGACGCAACAGATAGCCACCTGTGAGAAGATTTGAACAAATGATCACCGGGCTGGGAGGCCGGTGTGCTGGCCACTGTGCTACTTGGGCTCATCGGGATTCAATTGTGCAGCTGATTTTTTGCCCAGTCTTGGTAGCTAAGCAGAAAGCTAGATATACTTTGAATATACCCAGTACGCACACAGCTTCAGTTGTAGAGGTGCCGTAAGGAAATATGGAAATGGGGCTATCTTCCGAATAACGGTCCCAAATTATCGACTCCGAAAATATACCCTAAGAAGGTCTCAGTCACGTGTCAATTTCGCACTTTCGTCGTCTAAAATTGAGCACTTCAGGCGACTACCGCCATCGCCGAGAGTGATTCCAAAGCCGCTACGCGCGGCGTGGATTGAGGCTTAACTAAATGGCTGGGACTTACGAGCAGCAGCTACCGTCTCTCCTGCAGCTTCCTTCATTTTATTTGCTCGTGAGTCCCAGCCATCTAGTTTAGCCTCAATCCACGCCACGCGTAGCGGCCTGCGAATCACTCTCGGCGGTGGCGGAATAGTCCCCGGAAGTACGCAGTTGACACGTGACTGAGGACCGTTATTCAGAAGATAGCTGAAAATGTTATAGATATAATAAACTCCCTAATACACGACTGTCATTTAGGTACAAGTTATATTCTGCACATATATTTTATACGTGATTAACAATGCAATTTGTATCGACATATTTGAAATTTGTTTTGTTTACTATGATTTCCTACTGAATACAGGAACAAAATAAGGAAACTAGGCTAATTTTAAGCAGGCACAATTGTAATGGTTATTCTGTCTGCTCCTTTCGCTTAGGAGATGTGAATACAGTCTCACAATTCAGACATAATAAGGTTCACATTGGAAGCCGGTAGCAAGCAATATAGAAGATGCGACTTTGCACTGATGTTCAAAATGGTATGAGCGTCGTTATGTTTATAAAACAAGGATACCCAACTGAAAATGCCCTAGTAAAAAAAACACAACAGCCAGTAAATGTTGTGGTTTGTTTAAGTAGTTCTATAAGAATATACAACCAGAGGGAAAGAGAAAACAGGAGCGCCCAAAAACAACATGGAGACGAACAATGTAAAGTGACCTGAGTGCGGCATCTCTGACAAGAAAAACTGCACTGAAGATTGCACAGGGCAGGAAAGCATAGAAAGTCCCCTCTGAAGCCTCATGTGCCACTAGGCATAACGAGAACTGATGATGATGATGATGATAAGAATATACAACTAAGAAAGCTACAGAGTGAATAAATAAAAGCAAAAGCATTCTACAAAGAAGAAATTAGTACAAACACAGGTATACATTTCACAAGATTTTAGGAGTTGTGTGTGGTTGGTGGTTTGTGTGTGTGTGCGTGCGTGCGTGTGTGTGTGTGTGTGTCTGTGTGTGCATATCAACATATGTTTTCTGTTGTTGTTGTTGTTGTTTTTTTTTTTTTTTCATCAAGTCATACCCTGCAGCAGTTGCAGTTTTTATGAAACATTAGATGGCTCCACAGATACTTCCTCGGCCATTCAAGAATGGGACAATTTTGATCACATCACTCACAGGTATAAATATGTGGGTTAAGCACCATATTTATAGAGAGCCATTGCTGTTAAAATTATCATTTACATTTATTTGACCACAAGAGAACGCAAATTAACAATCATAGTTTGCATGTATTACAAGGACGCGATTAGAAGATTTGTAAAGGACGGTAAAAAATGAACAAATTAAACACATACGCAGAAATACACACACACACACACACATAAATGTATGCATATATATATATATATATATATATATATATATATATATATATATATATATATATATATATATATATATACATACATACATACATGCACACTTAAAGTCGCACACGGTAAATTGTAGCAAGTGCTTAGTTGATCTGCCTGCAAGATTTTAACATATATATCATACCGACCTTCAGAGGGGCAGTAATGCATAGACATCGCTCCACGAGTGATGAACGCTGTGATCAGGCAGGTCACCCGAGTAAAGGACACGTGAAGTGTGCCTATGGTGGCGTAGGTAAACTCTATAGGATGGAAATTCAAATCCGCTTCCAAGAATGCCGGAGTGTAGCAGAGGTTTATCCATATTAATGTTGTCAGACAGCCCAGATCTGCGATGGACAGCCCTAAGTGAACATTAACAATTATATGTTTAGATTGTGTGAATGATTCTGATGTGCAGATATTTGGAAATTAGGGGTAACGAACACCAAAGTTTATTCAATGTAATTATTATATATTTATAATGTTTGTATCATAATCGTCGTCACTGCACATATATGCCATTGTCATGCTGGTTCGATCCCCGGATGCAGTAGTCACACCAAGTACTTTTGCTGCCTATTCCTATACGAAGCTCGCGATAATTCTCTTCATGAGAATCTCGAAGAAGCGCCTTGATAAACGTTACTCCCAGATTACATAGTCGAATTTAAAAAAAAAAAAGTTTTTATAATCATTACTCTTGTCCGTTCATCACTGATCATATCAGCTCTATGCATGTTTTAAACATGCCTAAGTGTTTGTTTATTTTTTTTTTTTACACACGGACACGCTTAGGTGTGTAGATAACAGTAAGGAAGGTGAAGTTCGACTTCCCTGTGCTGTCTACCGCTATTTGAGTGATCTATCAACGACGAGGTTTGGGTTAACGAAAAGAAATAATAATCAATACATGAAACAATTTAATGAAATTACCAAGAAAGCTGACGTTCACCGGGTCCCTGAAGCCTTGTTTCGTAAAACAGAGGATGTTGATGATGTTTGTGACAGTTCCAAAAATATTGATTATCTGACAGGTTACAGCCAGAATTACCCATTGAACTATGACTGAAGCTTCGTCGCTGAGTAATTTCTCAATCACTATGTGTGAAGTGGGAACAGCAGTAACTGTGGCTGTAGAATAACCCGTATCTGTCATAGCTTTTTTTTTATTAATGTCAGCTCAGAAGATTGTATGACCAAGTGGTTAGAACACCGTTCTGTCCTTCAGGAGATCCGTGTTTGAATTCCCAACAAGGTTATTGAAATTCTTTCATTTACAGTTGGGGGTGGTTGGGGTTGGGGGGGGGGGTGGGGAGTAACAATTAAAAACCTAACTTCCACTGCTGGTTGCGATGAACTATTCATGAGACCATAAATCCTCAGGCTCAAGTCATAGTCCCGCCCGCCCCTTCCAGATCATATAACGTTATAAAATAAACAGGGAACAGTTACAGTTGTTTACAGTGGAACATCTTAACACTTAACTCGCCCAGACTGTAATTCTAGATGTGTATTCTCCATAGTCTTAGAGGAAGATATTGTATTTCATTCTGTGAACTCTAGATTCGAACCGTGCTGCAGCATATTAGTGTTCATTACACAGAGGGATTTGGGGTGGCGCAGTTGCCAGTAAACGTGATTGCCAGGCCAGGAGTCATTGCCTCGAAGGTTCATCAACGCTCTCAGTTCAGCCCAACCTAAAATGGAACCTGAGAAATTATGAGAACAGTAAACACGAAAGAAGGTGATTCCGATTACATCACCACTACGGTTGTGGATCCTTACACAAGGGAATGGAGTTGGGGCGAGGGGAACTAAGATACTATCATGTAACCCCAAAACACGTGCTGTTCTCTACTTATACAATTTACTATATGTTCAGTTGAGAAGTTTATAATATACAAGTGCTGTTTGTAGCTCATGTCAAGAGTACTAAAACCCATTGTAGGGGCCATAAAAAGATCTGAATTATAGACATTTGGCTAGATGCTAAACAATTTATTTGGACGTGTATAACAATTCCACCATTTCTGCAAAGTTCATTCGCTGCCATCTTCCAAATGAATATTTAAAACAATAGTTGTGCTTTTAAAAGTAGCTAATGGTGTCTGATAACAGGGGTCTGTTCTCACTACTTCATATTTTTACTAGTCCACTGTTTTGACATTCTATTTTGGAGTATCTCAATACACAGCATTTACTGCATCTTGTACATATATTTACGGTGAATGTTATATATTTTTAAATAATTAAACTCTGCACTATAAACTAGAAAACCAAACTATAATTATATACCAGTGCAATCTTTGTTCTACGACTTTCTACAGCAAGCGATTGCAGTAATTATGTATTCACTGGCAAATAAAATAGCAATAGTTATCTCCTAAATTTAGTACGCAACTTGGACCTTTCAACAAAAGAAACTAGATACTTTGGAATTAGCAACAGATAATGAAATATATTGTTGCCTTCGAGCAAACTACGGGAGCATGTAAGCTATATTTAATTATAGCTTATCACAGACAGAGGATGTATTAATTTCAAAATTATAGACACAGACGATGGTGAAAGTCGATTTGTGAACTAACCAGATTACAGCAAACTCACCACTCAGTATAATGCACTGTTATAAAATTGGGATCAATGTAAACGTGCAAATAAGTTAGCAAACATAATGTCTGTACTCAAAATAATATTCAGCAACGTTTGTGTGTCAGGTAATCTAACTACTGACCTATGAATCTTACTTTGTTGCCCGGTGATTTTTTTCACTGGCGTGAGGGAAAGTGCCTCCGATCGGGTGTGTATAAAAAGATACCACACCTAGGGAATCAGCCTTCTCTGTGCTGGTTTCACGAAACCTCATTTAAGACTCCTGCTGCACTTCCTGTCGTTAAAAACAAATGTAAAGGTCCCTTTCCGTGCCCTTAGGCGAACAGGGCATATAGGACTAGACCTAAATTTGTTTAGAAATAAATACACAAGATGGGTGATGTGGTCAGCATAACGCCGGCCGCCCTTACTTCCTGGGACTGCACCCGGTACCCACTCAAGGCTGGGTCGACCTGGGAGTCAAGGTCATTTTTGAAAAAAAGTTTGGCTCACTTCTCGTCGTGCGACACCGATAATGTCTCAGATGAGCATCAACAGAGCTGGCAGGGGATCTCGGAGATAGTGACCCCCAAAGATTTAGGGTCCACTCTGACTCTCATCAGCTTACCCCCTAATGCATGGGGAAAAACGTCTATCAAATCTCATTTGGACATGAGAGAACTCCGCTTGCCGAGTGTAACAATAAAAATAAGAAGAAACTCCACAGGTGAGCATGAACAGCAGGAGTCTATCAATTATCAGTAGAAGTAATCTCTCGTCGACAAATGTTTCGGCCCACGAGCTCCTATACATTTTCAGAGAGTGGGCCCACCTGAGTTCATGAAGCTCAGGGTTGATTTTTCTCCTGCTGTACGTATTACCGGATGTTTTCGGACAGGGACAAGACGATATTGGTGACTTTGCAAGAGGTAATGTGAGATATGAAGTGTATTTACATAGTCGTTGCTGTAGCATAATTAGAGCAGTCAGTTTACCTGTACGACCAAATGGCAAGCTTACGGTTGGTTTATCGGACACATGTTGACTTTGTTGGCAGATAGCATAGCGACACTGGGAGACAATTCTGACACGATGGACGTTTAGGGATAAGACTTTCTTTTCCATTAGATACAAAAACAAGCTCACCAAGGTCCATCGCCCACGACGTTCCGTTGTGTCCAGAGCCAGCTCGAGGCCCTCTCTGCAGCCTCGCCCAGTTGTTTTAGTGCTCGCTTGAGTTCATTTCCTCTCAAGCCTAGTTGTTTAGTCACATCGTGCATTGAAGTAGAAACGAGACCTCTTGCGCCTACCTCGACGGTGAAGATTCTTACTGTGTACGCTTCGACCCTCCTCAGACCAGCCGACAAGTCACTGTACTTCTTGAGCTTTTACAAGTGGCTTTCGTCCATTCGCGACTCATGCGGCACGGTTAGCTCGATCAGGATGAGCTGACGTTTCTCCGCAGAGTGAAGGACTATGTCGGGTCGCAGGCCAGTCTTCCGGATCAACTCAGGGTATTTTTCGTGACCAGACAGGTCAACCGCCAGTAACCAGTCCCTCGCACAGTCAAGAATCGATAGAGCGTATGCGACTTTGTTGAATTTACCTTTATAAATCGGTGTATATTAGAGTGGTATGGGTGCACAAGTGTATAGGATGAATACGGGGACGCACGGGGACGACGGTAGGACTGGCCCTCGCATTGGCCCTCATCCTAGCTTGGTTCACAATGGCCACTAACAATAACAACTCTTGGTTAAAAGTCTGTCAAGAGAAAGGACAACTAAACTGCTTAGACTCGGGTCTAGACCAAGAGATTTTCCCACAGCTTAGACGAGCAACATCTTATGAGGGCGTTTTCTCGCTCAAATGACACAACAAGCAAAATCGCAATGTCCGACCGCCACAGATCCTACTAACTGGCAAAAGGTTGAAAGGTCAGTATCCACTGCCCTTACTTGCAGGAGTGTTGAGACCAATAAAAGGGAACCCATGCCTGGTGCATGTCTCTCCATACTGTAGTGCTGAAGGTGCAGTTTAAACAATGTCAAAGGTGTATAACGGGATGAAGACAAATGTACCTACTTGTGTGGTCAGCGAAATCCTGGACCTGCCGGCTGCTCACTGCTGATCACCGATGGGTGCAGCCCGTAACGAGTGGAAAGCTCATGAGGTTAAGCAGGAATGTGCCAGACGTGACGATTCCTTGTGTGAGTCCAGAACTAGAGCATTATGTGTCAGCTCTGAATTTATGGAAGCCTCCTTGGGTCGTGGGAAGTGCCCTTGATCTGGGAGCCCTGGATGAAAGCGGCAAATGATGAAAGGCACCCATCGTCAAATGCTTTCCGGTTTAGTCCTAAACCGTATCAAGGACAGCCGATCAGGAATTTACTCAGACCAGCAGGACTGGATGCCACCTTTTATATGCAAAACAAGGGCTAGGACTAAGCCAGGACTTTGCCCGCGAGCACCAGCTTTATTCCCATGATCCACCCATAGACACTTGAACTACCCTTGACAGATATGAGTCTGATTAGAAGTAATCCTAAAAAATCTGAAAATGTTGAAGCAAAAAACAGAGCAGAAGAATATATTGATAACATTCGAACAGATAACTTTATAGTGTATACTGACGGATCTAAAAATGAGGCATAAGGAAGTAGGAGCAGTTGTAATTATCCCTCTGTGGGAATTGTATAGAGAATACAAAATAACAGAAATTGTGGCAATTTGCACAGCTGAACTATTCGGTATTACGAAAGCACTAGAGATTGTGATAAATAAACCTACAACTAAACAAACCATACTGGCAGGTTTGCTGTCATCAGTGAAAACTTTTCATTACTCACAAAAGAGGCCGTAGGCCAGATAAAAAAAAATAATCTGACAGCTCAACTGAAGAGCAAAGAATGCCAAGTCACAGTAGCATTGATACCAGCGCATAGAGGTGTAATAGGCAATGAGAAAGCCTACAAAGCAGCCAAAAAAGGACTAACTGCGATACTGTATTAGAAGTACGACTCGCAACAACAACAAAAACAAAAAAAAACTGAACGAAAAAGCAAAAGCATAGTCAAAAGATGTGTCACTAAGATGTGGAAAGTCCAATGTCAGATGAGCACTAACGGCAGAGATGCATACAGTAACCTAAGAGAACCCAGCCTAAACACACACATAATGGACAACCGGAAAATTCCTGCTAACAAACTGTTATGAAGATTTAGACTTGGGTGGATTTAAGAGAAATGCACATCTCCCTTATGCTTGGACTGCTTTCAGGATAATGTAAAAGAACATTGTATAACAAATTGTACTAAACACAAACAGGAGAGAAAACCTATTGAGAAATACATTCAAAAACGTAACCAGCAGAATACTCTCAACAGATGTTTATGTGTGGAAGCAAAAGAGAAATACAAAAACTTGTTAAACCATGTCTACCTAAAATAAATTACAATTTTAAAAAAAAACTGGATCAAAACGAATCTAAATTATCATAATATAAAAAAAAAAGACGTTATCAAGGAACGGAGATGTCTAGACGCACATTCATATTCGATAAAG